ATGTTGTAAAAGTGGACACCCCAATCAGTGCAGTCATCGCGACAGTTTACAGGCCACCAAGTTATGATCTTGGAACATTTTTAAGAAATCTGCAAAGTCTCTTGGTTGGCCTGAATTCAATGGCTATTCATCCCATTGTCGTATTAGGAGACTTTAATGAGGACCTTATTCCTCCTGGGAAAAAAGCCATCAATCAGTTGTTTAGAGCCAAAGGGTTTATGCAACTTATCTCTGATCCAACCACAGAAAAACGTACTCTTCTTGATCATATTTACATCTCCCATCCAGAATATTGTGTCCAATCAGGTATCTTGCAGAATTACTACAGCTACCACAATCCTACATACTGTGTGTTGGCTTCTGTATAAGTTGCATCTACAGTGGCTTGCAAAAGAAGTCATGTTTCTTCAAGTTTTCCAAATTTTATCACATTACAACCACAACTATGGAAAAACAGTGGAGAGAAGTATTTGTTTATTTTTCAGGTATATACTAAGTAATAAATTTCAAATAAATTTCAGTTTATTTGCAAAAAATTCAGTCATATTTTTAAGCCTCCCTGGTAGAGTCTATTCTGGAGTTCTGGAAAGGAGGGTCATCAAGATTCTGGAGAATGCATGGGAGTTCATCCAAACAATCCACATGTGTTTTGAGAAGGCATTTCACAGGGTCCTTCTGGGAACTTTGTGGGAGTTCTCCTGGAGTATGGTGTCCAAGTCCTTTGATACGGGCTGTAAGGTTTCTGTGTAACCTTACAGAAACGTGGTCTGCATTACTGGCAGTAAGTCAGGCTCATTTCCGCTTAGAGTTTGATTTTGCAGAGGAAACGAGCCCGACTCTGCTGGCAATGCACACCAGTCTCTGACACCAGTCATATAGGGACCTAACAGCCTGTATCAAAGGACCTGGGACCCCATACTCCCAGAGAACCCACCCCTTGCTCCTTGAAGGACACAGACGAACTTCTTCTCCAAGTCCACAAAACATCTGTAGACCCAACACCTGCATGGGAGTTGGGCGAACTCCCATGCAGCCTCCAGACCCTGCTCAGGCTGTAGAGCTGGTCCAATGTTAGATGACCAAGGGAAAAACCACACTGCTCTTCTTGAATCCGACCTTCGACTATCCGATGGACCGTCCTCTCCATGAACCCCACATAGACCTTGCGAGGGAGGCCTCACACCCCCCGGTCCTCCTTTTTGAACAAGGGCCAGGAATCAAACAGTCTCACTTAATCATAAGGGTTCTACTTCATGGGTCTTTCATATTACATTTGGATGAAATATATTTGTGGTTGCAGTGTAACAATATGGAACAGTTCAAGGGGTATGATTACTTTGTAAGCACTGTAAATCTTAACCCTGAAATCATGACATGAAATTCTTTTTGGAGAAAATGTTGGAATCTCTAGTCGTTTATAATGTCACTTTATTTGACTGTTTGCTTTTGTAGATACGACAGCGTGGATAGTTTTTCTTGATCATTGTTGCAGTGGATTTGATATGTATTTATTCATTGTACACATTTCTGAATTATGGTGTATGCTTGTAGATTTTGTTGTAGGCATAAGAGATCTTGTACACTTTGTGAATCTTTTCAATACTTATTTACTTCTGTAGAAGAGGCTTCATAAACAGGTTTTGAACTTGCACATAAAACTTTGAGCTTTGTGAATACGAAAGTGGCTGATCTTGAAACACTTATCAGTTCGCTGTCAGAGTAGTTGCTGGAAATGTTGCACCAGGGAGCAGTAGATAAGACAATCAGTTACTATACGTATATTCTGTTCCATTTGAAATGGGGACCATAAGGTTTTCCTAATTTTTCTAATCCAGTTAGCATAAATTTTTCCCTTCAAATAAGCCAAAATTTTTTGCGTAAACTACGTTTTTATTCTTCATTGTTTGCGTCACTTAATTAAAGCTCTCCTTGTTTCAATCTCTCCTCAGTCACACTGAATTTTTAATGCTGCAGCCCCCTAGTGGCTACATTATCTTCACTTCACAAGCAGGACAAAAGTTCGGCTCACTTTTGTCCTGTTGGACTCCCTCCACCTGGTGAGAATTTGTTTGGTTTTGGTGGAATTAACCCTTTGTTCTCCCAGTTTTAGTATGTTTTTCCAGGGTTTTTCACACAAAACGATCCTTTGAGGCTGCCAAGAAGACAGAGAGGAAACAAGACCTTGAGGTTTGGCCCATAAGATGTAGAAAATGTATCTAAATTGTAGCAACCTTACAAGTTGTTACTTTTTTGTTGTTGGTAATAGCTGTCTATTGATGGAATGACTTGTGTGTTTTCAGTCCAGGAAATCCTCACCTACCTCACGGACTTGGGCCTTATACAACCCGAGCAGATGGATTTCTTGTTTCTTTGAATGTCCCAGGTGGTGCAATCTGACCAGGTAAGTACATAACAAATTAAGGCTAATTTATTTGCCAATTTGGTTTATTTTAAGTTGAGATTGATGACAATATATATCTAGGTTTGATAGGAGGAATCCAGTGGATGTGCCCTTTTTTCTTGGGTCATATTGGTATTTATATCTGTTAATCATTCTGAAATCTTTATTTAAACAAAGTTTAAATTTTACAGATGTTTAAAAATGTCATGAATAATAATTTGTTTTTTTTTTGTCTGTTTTTTTTACTACAGAGTTTGTGATGTCACATAAACTGGATCCCAAATGAAAGATTTGGAGCAGCGGTTGTGTTTTTTTATTTTTTCTACAGTTGTAAATAGTTTTTCATGAATGTATATATTTAAAATAGTTTCTTGTAAGAATATAGTTTCAAATATGTTTCATGTATGTATATATGTATAATAATTTTATATTTATGACAAGTGGATCATCGTGGCAAAGCCATGTTTCACTTGTGAGATTAAATCTGTCAGGCCTTACATTGACACTCAGGCAACAACCCTGAGTGCCACACGGCCGGACAGGACACATGTAAAAAAGATAGTTTTTATTGCAGAGACATCAAGTTCTGAAATTTATTGAATTCTTTAAATGTTGTAATTTTGGTATATTGTAATCTTTACCTGTAAAAAGTTTGTAGAAATCTTTAATATGACTTCAATATATATTTTTAAACTGTGATCTGTTGTGTGTGTGGGTTTTTTCATTAAAACTTTTTGTCACTATTATGAACTACATTCATTTGCCTTAAGTGACAATAGTCACTAATGTTATTTAAAAAAAATTGATTTCAAAGAAAAATTAAATAATAATAATATTATTAATATTATTTAACTAATGTTATTGTATTATAATAATAACATTTAGGCTTACATTAGCATTTTGGCTAATTTTAGCTTGTACACTAATTTTAACATGTTAGTCAACATGCTTGTGATTCTCCACATGCTTATTTGTAATGGCTCTAACAGAGGGGTTAGCAAAGTTTTTGACTAGCGGGCCAGAATGGGTAATTTGACAGAGAGGCCAGGAGCATTTGGACACACAATGTAATTTATTAAACCTGGGTATTGAAATGTATGGAAAAACAGACACAATTGAAGGTGCAAATTTAAAAGAGATAAATAGTGGAAAAAGATCAATGGAATCACTTTCAAAGTATATATTTCAGAACATATTGTAATGATGCTGTAAGATGATTTATTTTTACTTTTCATTTAATAGGGTTCTATAGAAGATCAGTTGTTTACTAAAGATGTTAAGGAGTTGTACTGCGCCTTTAAAAGGAGTTACTAGGTTGTTTTCTGGCTGGCCCCTCCTCCGGAGGTTCTCGGGGTTTTTTTTTTGTTTTTGTTTTGTGTTCTGGCAAGATGGTTGAATAAACGTCTGGACCGCTAAGCTATTCCCGCTCATTGTCCTGCTTTTTCTCCACCCACGACCTCTCAGTTTCTGGTAACACAGATTTATCTAACATTACAGTGTTACACTCTTTCATACCCTATTAAATGAAAAGTAAAAATAAATCATCTTACAATGCCAACACTGCAGCTGTAGTAGTCCCGTCAAACAGGGTTTATTAGAAATAAGAATAAGAGCTGCTAGTATTATGGCTGCAGCCCCTAACAAGCTGTTTCACTCCGTGACAGCGTAACTGGCAACCGAACACCGCCCTGCTGCTCCCACCCCCACCGTCATGACAGACCAATCACGAGTGAGTGGAAGTCAGCTGAGTCAGAGGAAGTAAATAACGCTACATGTAACAATAAGGAACACATTGTAACTTATAACACATAACCATGTGGAACCCAGCAGAACTAAAACAGAATCGTTTCAATATTATTACCCAATGAAAGAAAGTTGAGAATTGAGAGCGATGTGCGGCATGTTAATTAAGCTACTGTATCGCTGCTGTGCGTAAATGCTAGAGTTGCTATTTTTTTTTTCATAACACACTAGAGAAACTCACATCTCAGTGGGAACAGTGTTGTTCTCCTTTTTTTGCCAGTGCATCAAAATCTGGAGTTAGTTTTGTTGTGGCAATTCTCAGAACAGAAATAAGGTGTTGGTCAGTTAACCAGGATCTGTGATGAGCTTTGTTGATGTTTATGACGCTGAAAATCTGTTCACACATGAAGGATAAAAGTCTTTCAGTTTAAGAGATCTGAACTTCTCTTTTGAGACGGTGTCAGACTGAAGACAGTCTGAAGACAATCTGACACCTTGCTGTGCAAGCAAGGCAAAGCATTAGCTTTAGCCTTTTACCTTAAAGGAGTTATTAGCTATTTCCCTTACTTATTACCCATATTTAGTATACTGAATGGAGTAAGCCAGGCTTGTGACTCTCCACATGCTATTGATGACGTTGCAGCTTTCTTTAGCATGGAAGTTAATGTTTAGCATCAGAACGCTGGTCCAAACGTCGGGCACACTTTGGCAGGGCCCCGGTTAAATTTCTTCAGGAATTTTAGTTCTATTCTATTCTATTCTATAGATAATAACGGAATGTCAAGTGTCTGATTTTTATATCTCCCTGCAAGTCAAAACACAGGGCAGCAAACACTCCTGTACTCAGGGGCGTCTTAGTCACATGATGCACTGCGCTGGCTAACGAGCTAACGCGTTAGCTTGGCTTGTCAAAGCCGTAGTCAGAAATCACGTACAGGACTGAATTTTTTAACCTGTTGAACAGACAACCCGTCACAGAGGCGAGAACCTCTCGGAAGGTAAAGCGTTAGTTGTTTTATGTTTTTTTCTGAGTTTGTTAGTGGGGGTTTGGGACTGAAATTAGCACAGGTTGCTAAGTTCAACTTGTTTTTGTCGTTATGTTATGTTCATGATGTTGGCCTTGCTGTGTGGGTTGACCATTAAGCTAATCTCCCATAAACAACCACATTCCTGTTATTCTGAGTGTTTTAGGTAAATTGTCAAAATCTTGACAAGGTTTGACGTAAAGCAGCAATAATCCTCTTAATGCTAGCTTCACAAAACAAGTTGTGTGTCAAGAGTCCATAACTAACTTAGCTAATGTTAGCAGCGAATGTTTGATAAGAGAAATAAAACAAGCTCCAGCTCTGTCAGCATAAAACTCCAGACATACGAGTTATCTGGTCATAGTCAGTTGACATAAAATTATACAGCACTACTTCAGTTTGACAAAAGCCAACTGTGTTATGAAGCATTTCTCTTGTGCTCATTATGGTCGTTTCAGTTCTGTTATGAACGTGGTTGGGGTTAAAAAGAAAGTGCCTGAATGTTAGTGTACTACCCACATATTCAGACATGTGAAAGTTTGGAGTTTCTTGTTGTGAAAAAAAAAAAAACTAAAGAGGAAACAGCGTTTCAGAGAGTCGATAACTTGGGTGGCAGGTATTACAATGTTTTTTCTCTGAAATTAAAGTGGTTAAATAATAAATGAGACGTTATGAAGAGGTGCAAATGCAGAACTCTTTGACCATTAAGACACCATAGCCATTGTTCAACTGATCTTTTATGTCTTACTTTGTAATGTCTAATGAAAATTCCCAAATATAAGCCAACTTTTAAATTAAATTATACTGGATCTTGTAAAATATATCACAGTGTTGTGTTGTATGAACAGGGAAGCACCTCTGTAGTATTTTAAGTAATTTGTTCAGATCTGATCATGTCTGCAAGTTATAGTTGTGTCAGAAGTTTAGAAGTAAATGTTATCCCTGAGACAGATTCAGGGGGCGAATCATAGTTGTGGTTTTAGAATATGTAGAGAAATGCATCCTGACCATAGAGGTGGTGCTTCAGATATTTGTGCCTTTTAAGTTAGATATTTTTTGTTTCCAGTTTTATTGTTTGCAGTAATTTGAGAGAAAGAATGATGTCAAAGGATGATGATTTTCACAAGTATATACATGAGGGTAAATGGCGTTTGAATATTAATATTAGACTATTTTAAAAGAAGGGAGTTTTTACAATTGGAATTTTTGTGTTTGTCATCAAATATTTTTGACAAACCATGTATTTTGAAAAAATGCTTCTAAACAGACACTGTAAGACTGTCGGCTGACTACAAACAATGTTTAAAAGTTGTGACAGTTGCTTTAAATAATGGTATTATGTCATGCCAGTACATTGTGCCCTAACTTGCTCAAATATAAATGACTTAAATAGTTTTTTGACTCAGTAAGAGAAATTACAACTAGGTTTCAAACCTACCAATTACTATTATTCGAAATGTTGCTTTTCTTATTTCGATATGTCCTTTTTCTCGATAACCATCCAGATAATGTCTGATTCACCTGTTCGTTAATGCACCATGACTTCCATCTTTTTATCATGTCCAGCACTATGGTGACCGAACATAATTGCCAATAGGTCAAAAGAAGTAAAAACATCAGGGTGGATCTGCAAACAGTAAATGAATCACTTCTTCTTCTACTAGGGCGTGTATGAGAACCCCAATTTTGTGTGGCGCCCGTGATTCCTGAATATCAGCGGCGCCTTCATTTCCCACCAGATTGTTGCTGAACATGGGAATCCCATTTTGCTTTTCGAGTGAGAGTTGGTATGCTTTGAGGAAGCCACATTTCCCTCCAAGTTTTGCTGACTGTTCCTGTATATCAGTGCCCTGTGTATTTTCTCTAGGGCTATTTATGAAAAGTTTGCTGACAGGAACTTTTCAGAAGACAAATTTTACAAATGACTTTGAGAGTCATTAGGTTAAAATCAAAATCTTTATTATCTAAACTCTACATTTTTTTCTCAAGCAAAGTATTGAGGTCATTTGGATAAAAGAAGTGGAATATGCTTTTTGTTGCTGACCCATTTTAAGATTAAAGTAATTATAAACAGGGGGAATTAAAATGGGAATTAAGATGAAATAGTAAAAAGTGAAGTCAAAATAATACTGTGGCAAGGACTTAAGAATAACATTTATTAAAAAAAAAAAAAATCAGCTTGCAAACATCCTGTGGACACGTACTCTCAAAACACACCAAACCTGCTCTGAAAGAACACAGCAGTGTCAACATACCACCATTTGTGACTTCACAAAAAATTTGAAATTCTTTTCTCACCATTTCAAATTTATTCTTGAAATGAAATTTAAATCATATTCCCTGGATTTCATTTTTATCCTGTATCTGATAAGAAAAATAAGATCCACCAAAAGAAGATAAAATGTTTTCCCATTTCTGGTGATCCTAATACTCTGTTTCATTTGGATTTTGGTTTTGAAAATGAATACAATCAGTCACCTAAATTGTGACAGTAACAACTTTGATATTTAGCTGTAATAACTGGTGGAACTGTTTATTGTAGGGCAGGTTTCCAGAAGTCTGGAAAGATAAGAACTTTTGGATTTCAAAGTAGATGCTATTCCACAATTTTAGTTTGATTTGCGATCAGTAATTAATGTTTAAATTGGCTAAATCAGACTTTCTTTATGTAAATGAATGTAGGGTGCAATGAGGTTGGCCAGGAAGACATTGTTGATATTTGTTGGTGATTTTATTTCCAGCCATCTGTGGCAACATGGAACATGGGCAAAGGTGAGTGACCGATAAGATGTTGGGGACATTGGACTTTACCAGTCAGATCAGGGTGTGGATAACAGGAGACATTATGCGATGCAGAGATGGTTTACTACAGCTGAAAGTAAAATTCAGTCAATAAACCATATCTCTAATTATTACACTGGCTGCCTTTTGAACGGATAAGACCTCACGTTATCTACTTTCCATTGAATAAAATCAAAGTTTATAATATGATTTTACATGTTGCTCGCTTTCTTTTATTAAGAAAAAGTTAATATTTGGGGAAAAAGGTTAAGACAACTGGTAAAGTCTATGTAAATACAATGAGCTGCTTCAGGAGAAAATGACCAAAGCACCTCAGTGCATTTTAATATTCAAGAGTCAATGACCTACAGTAACCCCTGGTGTTCCCTTTTTCACCCTTTCTCCTCCCTCCCATTCTGTTTTCCCTCCCGTCTCCCATAGGGCATTGTAGAAAGCCACTTCTTTCCTACTCGCTCTCCTCCAGATATCAAGTCATTAAAACCTCGGCACAATAAGTCAGTGGGCTTTGGGCGTCCCATAAGACCCACCAGGGAAAGCCGGTCCTCCATCAGCGCAGAGGAATCGACAGACTCAAGCTGTGGACTGGCATGGGCGAGATGGATAGGCAGTAATTGGGACATCCACTTCAGAGGTAAGGTCAGTCTCACCTGGTCATGCTCACTGTTGCAAATATATTTGAGCCTATTGATGCTCTTTAGCAGAGTTGTATTTTTTAGGTTGTTTTGGGTGTTTTGTTTCGTGAAAAAGTTTTTCTGTTTCAAGTTTAAAAGAGAAAATCTGCTTACAGTGTACCAACACAACAAGAAGCAAACATTTGGTCAGCATTTGTAAATGCCAGTATTATAAAGTTCATATCTTCTTCCTTATAATAACAAGCATGTTTATTTGTTATATAATGAAAGCTTTTCTTTTTTGGTCTGTGGAGGCTGGAGAAATGAATTACTCCCATCGTCAGCTCTGCAGCCTTTCCATTGATTCAGTTTTATTCATCACTTCTCTTCTAATTTGGTCCAAACTTCTACCATGTGAGACAAAAATACCAGGTCAAAAGTAAAAAAAACAACAAAAATAATAATTAAAAAAACATGTTTTGTTTTTTTACCTGTTCAATAAATCAAGCATGTAATAATTCAACAAAACATTAGATTTTTTTTTTTACTTTGCTGCAGGAAAGATTATTGTTGAAGCACATCTTAAAGATTTTTGCACATTTGATTTATTAAAAGAAACGCGTTCAGTTTCCAAATTCTTTTGAGCTCAAATATAAAAAAATATTAGAAGAAGATTTAGTATGTTACTAGCAATAAAAACAAGATTTGGATTTCACTCTTTTTTTTATAGCACCTCTACATTCTGCCTGGTTTCATAAATCATTTAAAAACTAATTTCTTTGCTTCAAAGTCTTCATTTGAATGAAAGTCACTGGATAGATGTAATTTATTTTTATTGTGAAATTAAAGAGAATGAGAAAGCCTTAGTGTTTCACTCGACAGATTTAGATTTCAAATAAAAAGTCTCTAAATTTGTATCATTCTTGAATTTATGATTGTGGATGCACACAATCTGTCCGTGTGCTGTAAATGATCTCTGGACTACACTTTGCTCTTTAATTGGGAATGCACAGTTTTTTAACAGAATATGGTCGATTGAGCTTTAGATTAAAGTCTGATAATGAAGTTTCTTTTAGATCTTACCCACTGATTCAGAAATACATTCTGCAGCTTTTTGAATATACATAGATACATTGATGTTTGTTAATTATTCCATCAAACAAAAATGTATGAAGTTCTTAGTTTTGGATTAGATTTAATGAACTGAGGGAAACGCTATTGATATTTTTTAGTATTTGACCTGCTGATAAGCAAAAAAATTAAGGGAACACTCAAATAACACATCCTAGATCTGAATGAATGAAATAAATATGAAAATAATTTCCACCTGTTGTCTATCCATTTGCACAACAGCAGGTGATATGGATTGTCAACCAATCTTGCTTTCTAAGTGGACAGTTTGATTTCACAGAAGTTTGATTTACTTGGAGTTATATTGTGTTGTTTGAGTGTTCCTATATATATATATATATATATATATATATATATATATATATATATATATATATATATATATATATATATATATATATATATATATATATATATATATATACATATACACACACACGCACACACACCCCCACACACACACACACACACACACACACACACACACACACACACACCACACACACACACACAAACACAGGGCTTAACCATACTGCATTCCATCAATAGTGGAAGCCGTTTGATCAAGCCACAGAAATGAAAGTCAATAACAATCAACTACCTCTTTTGTTGTTGCACTTTTATTTAACAATCAATTAAATCCAACACAGGTTTTCAAGACTTCACCTTTAGTTAGGCAGGCATATTAAACAGGTTTTAAGATAGCCATACATAAATTTATCTTGTGTAGCATTTCTTCACCTATCAAAATTAACAATGTAATGCATTATGTTTCAGGTTTTTCTGTTCTGTAGGCTGGTTAAGAATAGCTTCAGTTTATGCTGGTGTATGTGCTGAATCAGTTTCCTCAAATATACCCTCTACCCCCAGCAGCACATGACAGACTTTCATTTCTGCTTTTGCATCCAATTGTTTTTTCTTTTTACACACTTTTGTATTAGGAGTGTCTAACTACAATTAGATTCTTCTGGCATTTCAAGACTTTCTAAGAACTACAAATTGCTGCTCAAGATGCCCAGTCATCTCATTCTTTGGACCGCATCCCTTTTTTGAGTGAGAATACAATTTTTGTTTATTTGCATCTACCTGCAAATAAATAGTTTTTTTTTCCCTTTTTTTGTTGAAAATATAGTGGAACATCTCAAAAAATTCGATAGAAAAAGTTCCAAGATTTTTTTGGCAATCCTACAATGGAATAGAATATAACATGCTTTATTTATCCACAAAAGAAAATTGCTTATTTATTGACAAGCTTCTCTAAACAAAGTGTTGAATATTAGCAAACACAAGCATAAAAATATGATATGACATTTATAAAAATATGTATATATAGGTGTTGGATAAATTCATGACATATTTCAAGCCTTTTTTTCTTTTAATTTTGATAATGCTAACAGAGAATACAAACCTGTTGTTGGTGCACCTTTTAATGCCACACGTTTTCCTTCCACTAAACTTTCTTTGCACACACTTGGATAAAGCATCCTGTAAACACGTAACTTTTTCAACGGTGACCTTTTGTGGCTTTCCCTCCTTATGCAGGATGCCAGTGACTGTCCAGTCAGCAGTCTTCTCCATGATTGTGCAGCCTACTGACCCAGACTGAGGCTCAGGAAACTCTTACAGATGTTTTGCTTAATTAGCTGACTAGGGTCAGTCATGACACCATTATTTTCTAACATTCAACTTTTTCAAATATTCAAAATCTCTGAAATATTTAATTTTGAGTTTTTATTATTTGTAAAAATGGAGAAACACAAGAAATAAAGGCTTAAAATATTTCACTCTGAAAACGAACTCCATTTAATGAGATTCACATTCTAAATTTACAAAAAAAAAACATTTAAGTAGATTGCAGCATATGTATCTGTTAGCCCCCTCCACTCTGTTACCTGAAATGAAATTAATTGTGTCCACCTACCTCAAGGAGTCATCAAATGAGTTCAGTAATTCTAAATTTGGTCCTCACCATTTTAGGGAAACATTGCCATTGCTGAAAATTGTGGTGGCTCTGCTAATATATGTGAGAGATTTGCAGGGCAACTAGACATTTTACCTCCTACAAAATAATTATTCGAAGCAGTCCCTTAAAATTGCAAACTGTTACAATTGTGATTTGATAGATTTTGGGCAATTTATTAAGCCATTTACCGAATCTAACACTCATGGTTTTGGGATGCAGGAGGAAGCCAGAGTAGCTTTTTGTTTTAAAATATTATTTGTAATTTTTCTTTTGGAAAATATAACATGTTACTAAGCTTTTGGTCCTGTCAAACTTGTCAAAGAGATTTTGGTCTTAATGGGTCCTTATTTGAGTACCAGTAATTAAATGAAAATAAAAGCTTTATACATTGTGGCTTTTGAACAAAATCTTTTTTAATAACCACCTTTCTCCTCTGAAAGGTGGTTATTTCAAGTGGTGGTTATTCTTCTGCAAGGCAAACTCTGCTTTTTTTTACTCACACTGGTTATTTTTACTCCACAGGTACACGTTGATTTCGTAATGACAAGCTGCTGTGCAGAAGATGTCCACGCTGTCTGTGACTGATATCCCAGATGTTGGTCATGGTAAGAGGAAAAGATTATTTCTTAAATCTGAGAGATTAGGCAGGATTTTTTTCTTCTTAAATATGACAATGTCACTCTTCCAGTTAAAATAAATGCATTTATTCTCCCACATTAAAAAACAAGATTAATTCTGCAAGATAAAAGTCATAGAATGCATAAGCTTCCAAGTTTCCTCAGAAGGAGTGGCCTTTTTTCAATTGTAATAACCATAAATGTACCAGTGACTCTGTTAATTTCCTATCAGATTGTTTACATTTCTTCGTTCTCTAAGAATTGTTTGTTTTGGACACCTGTTAAAACAGATAAGATAAGAGGACGCGAACAATGAATCTTTGAGTCCAGCGAGTTTGTTTCTCTTTTATCAGTTGAGAGTAAGGTGTTTGACGGGGCCTCTGAGCTGCAGCTGGACTGCTTGGCTGAGGAGAGTGGTGGAAACACCACAATGAAGCCCGACGGCCTGCTGTCACTGACCGACCTCTCCCAGCCAGATGACTTCCCAGTCGCCTCCCACAATGGTCCGTCGCTTGCCGACATGAGCAGCACTCTGCCGGTGGAACCAAGTGACATCAAACTGGATCCATGTGCAGGTGACGCGTCTGGTAGCATAGGTAAGCAGAGCAATAAAAGTGTCCTTGTTTTTGTTTTGAGTTTGCTTTTAATAAACAAATTAAATGTAGGACCTTGCAGTCAGCTGTTTCTAAGGAACAATTGCGAAAAGTGATCATGTTGTTTTCAGATCATCTTAAAGTAATCTAATGGTAAGGACATAATAGTGCAAAAAATGAAAGATTAATAAGCTTTAAGTTCTAACAACCAGTTAACACTGGAACTAAATATTTAAATGTCTAAAATAAATAAACAAAACAACTGAAACTACAAATAAAATTAATCATGAAGTCTATGTAAAAAAACAAAAAAACAACTTCAAAGAAAGGGCTAGCTGAAACCAATGCACCAGGCTAAAACTTTTTGCCACCCAGTTTTTGGTAGAAAAAGAGAAAATCAATAAATCATTCAAATGAAAATGATTGAGTTTGTTTTAATTTATCTTACGATTAATTGATTTATTGCTTTTTGTGCACGTGTATTGTTTTTGTATGACAAGTCAAGTGGAGTCCAGATTAGTTATTGCAGTGTTTATAATGCACCTGGAGTAATGTCCAATTCTGCCTCAATTAGTTGATTTTTTTTTTCTTTGCTTTCAAACCTCATAATCATAATCAAGTCTCTTAATTTTGCAAAATGGTTCTGGAACATTAGGCTTGCTTATTATGATCCGTCTTCTGCTGCTTGGTGTCCAGACTTCTCTGTGGATTGTTATTCACACATGCTCTACACAGCAGGAGGAGTCTCTGCAGGACATTCAGCAGGCCGGCCTGAGTTGAGCACGAAGGAGGCAAGACATGATGGTTGAACTATGTTGTAGCGACTTCTCTGTTTTTGTTTTTAGCAATACGTGGGTGGTGGCACAGATTACCTTGTTGTAACTTCAATGTTCTTGGGAAAAGAAGGATTGTCTTAAGATATATACATTATAAAGGAGATGGAAGTAAATAGAAAGTAGTATTTTTTTTTCTTTGTTTGATAAGAGTTTCACAAGGCAGAACTGAAGCGCCTTTTAAATTATCACAACTGCCCTGCTTTTCTTCTTGGGGAATTCCAGTCCACTAATTTTAGATCATGTCAGCGATACAAAAGTACCAATAGATTCAGTATTTAATTAGACATACTGACTTAAAGGTTCTAAACATTTCTTCACTGGCAGAATTCATCATTAAATCAATTTGGTGCTTTCCTAGATCTCTTTATATTTTTTGCTGGAAAGATCTAAGACTTGCAGAGTTATTATACAGACCTGAAACATTTAGAAAAGTATGTATTGTATAGAAAAGTATAAATTAGCATTTACCTTTTTCATGGATGAATACATATGGGACAAAACTCTCAAAATGCTTTAGAAATCAGTGGATTTTAAATCTACTTTTAAATGACACACTTCATATTTGACTTGCTACATCACAACTTAATTTTTAAATGTTGTTCATTAAACTGACTGGAAGGCCGGTCATTTAACAACATATCAAATATGGACTGTTTTATAACGGGGCCTGTGGTTCCCAATTTAAGCCTGTTTAAAATACAAAACAAAGCCTAAAAACTTTTAACCGAGAGATGTTTCCTTATTTCACAAAACGGACCCTTAGCTTTTATAGTTCAGCTCACACTTTTATATACAAGTTCTTATATATAGGTTTTAAAATAGAGTTTTTAGTGCAAAATCCAAAAAGCAGTGAAATATGTTCATAATACACTTTAAAGATATAAAGACACGTTTGCTAATGAAGCAGTCAAAACTATATTTTTGGTACTCCAATTAAATTTTTTCGAAAATTTGAAACAGGAAAAGTATAAAATCTTTAAATTTCTTTTCAAATATGGAAACACTGAGAAAATCTTTAATATTGGCATGTCAACACACACATAAAAAAAAGATTCAGTAAACACATTGGATGTGTTGTGCAAGACCACTTTTTAACAAGAACAGTTAATTCTGTTCACACAGGTTAGAACTGAATTGGCTCTAACCAATTCAGTTCCAAGTACACCACCCAAACATTAAATCCACATGTTCATATTTATTCCTTAATTTTTTGATGAAACAAGGTTCTCAATTATGTGTACACACAATGAAGCTCCTTTTATTTACATGGTTCCTTGTGCAAAAGGAAAATTGAGTTTGAAATCTTGAAGATAACTTTCTAATTGGTAACTTGTGTCATACTTCAAAAGCAAAGTAAAATGTGACATAGTACAGTAAGTTGTGGTTTTACTCAGCAGCTTGTCTCTTCCAACCCCTCTCTATGGTTTCAGTCCCAGCTGAAACTCAGCATAGCAAGTCTAGGAGGTCAGGGAATGAACTTTTTGTTTATGTTAAGTTTAAAGCAAAGGAAGTAGAAGCAGTTTGATTATGACTCCTCGCAAAGATTGCTGTGTGTGCTTAAACTGAACCTCACGTGCATTTAGGTGAACGTGTGTGCAGTGGTTGTCTGTCTCTTGCCTTTTGAGAGGAAATATCTCGACTCAAACACTGTGATTATATAATCTTACTTTAGATCTGAGCGCATTGATTACAGAACACAGAGCTGCACCCATATAAAGTTATGATGCAAAAATGTTACTGCTGCAAGTGAAGATATTTGCAGCATTGCGTGTTATATAGACTTGTTGCATAATCTGTCAACTTCCCGATTACATCTGGATGATCACTGCAGCAGATGCTTTAGAAGATCTTTATGCCCTAACCAAAGAGTTTGGTTAGGCCCTGACATTTCTGGCATTTTTTACTCCAATATCGATCCATTCACTGCAACCGAAAGACATCATCCACCATATTCAGTGCGCATATACTGCTCATAATATTTTCTCCCTGGTGCTGCTCCTCTGCACCAAATCCTTCAACTTTCCATCTATAAGAATGTGTTTCTGGAACAAACTTACTCCCCCAAACAAATCTAGAAAAAAATCTGCAAACTTATCTACAAAAATCTGTGATCACGTGGCATTCCTCAACTGTCATACATTAAAGCTTAAGTTTTAATCTTTGTGAAAATATTTAATTTTCTACAAGCCTCCCTTTAGAAATCAAATGTTTCTTGGGATTCTTGTGTAGATGGGCAGCCGGTGAAGAGAAAAAAGGGTCCTGCTCCGAAGATGCTGGGCAATGAGGTGTGCAGCGTCTGCGGCGACAAGGCCTCTGGTTTCCACTACAATGTATTGAGCTGTGAGGGCTGCAAGGGATTCTTCCGCCGCAGTGTCATCAAAAGCGCCCAGTACTCCTGCAAGAACAACGGCCGCTGCGAAATGGACATGTACATGCGCCGCAAGTGCCAGCAGTGCCGCCTGCGCAAATGTCGGGAGGCGGGCATGCTGGAGCAGTGTGAGTGTCTCCACCGAAATTAATTCGAGATTTTTATATCTACTGTAAATAAAATTACGTCTTTAACTCTGAGATTGAGCTTTTGTGCAAACCAGCATCCTCTGTGACCCACAGGCGTGCTTTCTGAGGAACAAATCCGATTAAAAAAGCTGAAGAAGCAGCAGGAGGAGGAAACTGCACGCACGTCCACAGTGGTCACACCGACCCCTCTGCAGGAAGCAGCCACCCTCGACCCACAGCAGCAGGAGATGATCGAGAAGCTGGTGGCCATGCAGAAACAATGCAACAAGAGATCTTTCCTTGACCGACCAAAAGTTACGGTAATTGGACGACATGTAGCCCAACAAACGGTCTTCAAATGCTGTTGTTGTTTGTTTGGCATCGGTCTCACCAGACTGCTTGTGAATATTTTCAGCCTTGGCCCCAGAGTCAAGACTTACAAAACCGAGAAGTGCGACAGCAGCGGTTCGCCCACTTTACAGAGCTTGCCATAATGTCCGTTCAGGAGATTGTGGATTTTGCAAAGCAGCTTCCTGGCTTCCTGGAGTTGACAAGAGAAGACCAGATTGCTCTACTAAAAACCTCCACCATTGAGGTTTGTTTTGAGTTACCATCATTCAAAGCTGCTTTGACTCAACGATGTTAAAATAATTCAAGCACATTTTTCAAGATTCAACATCTTTTTGCCTATTTTTTTGTAAATTCATGTTGGAAGTAGTTGAGTTTGCAGCAAAAACTTTGACTTTGCAGCATCAGTGTGTCACTCAGGTGTTTGACCTCCACAGATTATGCTGTTAGAGACGTCCCGGAGATACAATCCAGCCATTGAAAGCATTACTTTTCTGAAGGATTTCAGCTATAATAAGGATGATTTTGCCAAAGCAGGTACTCTTATCATTTAGTCAGTGAAAGAAATCATATGATGTACTGTTTTTCTTAGAAATCTTGAAGCATCTTCCTATTAAATCCAGTTTTTTTTCTCTGTATTTACCTATCTCCTTCTTTTCTCTCTCGTTCCTTTTCCCCAGGGCTTCAGTTTGAGTTCATTAACCCCATATTCGAGTTTTCAAAAGGAATGAACGACCTGCACCTCGATGAGGCTGAATACGCTCTGCTCATTGCTATTAACATCTTTTCTGCAGGTCAGAATGAATAAACTGCAGTACTTGCTGTTCATCATCATTATAAAGTGCACAGAGTGAGCCAAATGCTTATAAACACTCTCAAGGATGAAATGGTTCATTGAAGCTTGCAGACTGTGCATTTATAGGAACATTTATCATATCTTAACAAAATTAAAAATTCTCCGGTGAGAGATTTGAGTTGCCTGTGTATTCTTTGCTTTAATTTGTGTAGATCGGCCAAATGTGCAGGATCACGATCTGGTTGAGAGGCTACAGCAGCCCTATGTGGATGCTCTGCGCTCTTACATCATGATAAAGAGACCAAATGTAAGTTCCCACCACATTATGTAATCTCTGCTCTTGTGACCGAGAATGTCACCGCAACAGGCACATTAGGTCATAACTGAGGTCATATTATATGGTGAAGGGTTGAATTTAGGAGCAGTTGTCTGCTTTAAAAGGTTATGTGGACTTTAGATTAAATTTAAAATAAATTGTTACTTTAGGTATAATCAAAAAGGGCTTCAATTTGATTTGTTTAGAAAAATGTTCCCCTAAATATGGAGGGTTTATCAATATCATCTCACAATAATTTCTCTACATTTAAGAAAGTGAGAGCCTTAAGTAAAAAAAAAAAAGATAAAAAAAAATTGAAGTATCTGAGATGTTAATTATGCTTAATTGTGTAGTTGTTGTTGAATTTGTTTAAAATAAAAAAGAAAAGAAAGAAACCAAGCAGCCGAAAGTTGCTCAAAAGTGTGTCTCATACAGAACACCAAACTCTGGAATCAGTGCATTGCACATTCACCGCCCATGAAGAAACTGTAAATTCATAAGGTTTGATTTTGCTACAAAGTTGTTGAGTGGCCACTTCTAACTACAATCCTAGTGCAGAAAACTAGAAGTCTTGTCGCATTCAGATAGGTGTTTTCATTTTTGGCCCAGTTGTGACCAGCATTGTTATTTTGATATGAATGTGCCTGATTTCTGCCAGTGGAATATTTACATAAGTGGGCTGTGTAAAAACTAACAGCAGTGAATGGAAGCAATTGAAAGTCTCAATTTTCTGCACACAATCAGTTCCTGTTTTGCTTGTGAAGGTTTAACTGCGGTACAAAAATGTAGCTGTCCAATTATTATTCCGAGGACAATGTATGTCCCTACCCCCACACGTAGGTTGTTTCACAGCATATCTTTTTACTCAAAATGTTTCTTATAATGCGACACATATACTTGATAGAAGTTAAAATCCAAACTGAAAACAATCTCTTTTCTCCTTTATAAGACTCAGGTAGATCTTATAAAATGTGATTAATACAAAAATGCTTTGTTTGTATTAAACATTATCAGTCCTGGTTCATGTCTTTAAAAGACCTCCTTTCCTAACTATGTGCTATTAATTGATAGTTTTTCAATGTTTTCTTCAGGATCACCTGATGTTCCCCCGTATGCTGATGAAACTAGTGAGCCTCCGCACATTGAGCAGTGTCCACTCGGAGCAGGTTTTTGCTCTCCGCCTCCAGGACAAAAAGCTTCCCCCGCTGCTGTCTGAAATCTGGGATGTCAATGAGTGACTGCGGTCCAGGTGTCTCATTCTGTGGCTTATGGACCCTGAGAGGGACATGGCTTCTGTGAAAAGACAGCCAACTCTTCTCTTCTGCTGCGGTCAGGGACTGGATATTGCCTTGAGATTTTTTGTTTTACCCTGAAGGGAGTAGAGTGCTCTAACCCTGTGCTCCCTAAAAGACTGTTAAGCAGCGTTGTGTGAAGTGGAGGAAACATTTCTTTTTTTTCTTCATTGTAGATGCTCTAATGATTGTGGTTAAGTTTCGGCGTTAACACTTTTCTTTGATTCAGTCTTTGCTGAAAGTTAAAGTCGGTCACTTTCGTGATTCTGTACTTTTCTTCTACTAATTAAAATCGGAAAGCACTGAGCAGGTCTTGGCTGTTACTGTCTTAAAAATTACAATGTCTCATTAAGAGGAAAAGATTATTTCTGTAGCTGTGCAGAGGCAGAGATGCTTTTCTGCCTGCATTTTGTCCTTATTCATGTATGGTAACAACTAGTTTGCATTTCCTTCAGAGTAAATTCAAAGGTCTTATGGTTGCACTCATTGCTCAGGAAAAGTAATGTGAAGCAGACCTCTGAGAAGTAGAGGGTTCTTTAATTTTAAGTAAGTGATTTGTTTTTTCATGAAAGAAATACCTTTTTTCATCAGAAATACCATAAAAAATTGTTTTATTAAATTTCAGTTAAAATTTTGCAACTGCTTTTATTTAACAACACACTGAAAAAGAAAATGCAGTTATAAAACTAATTTATAATTACATTAAAATGTCTATTACATAAGCATTCTTGAACTTGATACCTGTATCTATATTGAGAACCTTCAATAAAAAGGCACCAAAATTCAGCAAAGAGCAAAGACATTAGAATGTAAGTTGCATTGGACTTTATCATTACTGGGCTCTGGTTTCGTTGGCTGTTCTCCATGAATTGCCTGTCAGTGTGAAGTTGAAATCTTGGATAATCAAAAACATAAGTGTGAAATTTGTGGAGTTTATTTTTCAGCGTCCTCTTTAGACAACATAAATGTGAATGATTGAATATTGTGGGTTAATTAGCTCTGGGCTATTTCCCATCTTCAGATGTTTATAGTTGCGTTGCTAATTTAAAAGCCACTTGAAGAAAATCCCAAACCCACCATCTGTGAACTGATTTATATGGCATGCAAACAAAGCTAGACTGGGTGAGGACAAGCATAAATGTAAAAACAAAGAGTCTGTTTGCCCTGGTATTTTTCTGACCACATGTTGCTTCAGACATTTTGCTTTTTTCCTCAAAATATAACTGTTATTTTTGTGATTTTTACAACATTTTAACTCTTTGAAAATTATATTTTCAGAAAGAGATCTATTGTTGAGAGTGCACACAATATTCTTTTGGTTTGAACATTTTGCTTTTGTGTTCCTTTGCAACAGAATTTGTGAGATTGTTTCTCAACGTTTGAGTTTGATACAGACAGCCAAACACTAATTTCTGTGTAAGGGATCCTGGGTGCCCCAATCAAATATCCAACCCACTGACAGGAGAAAAAGATGAAATTGAAACTATCATGGCTGAGTGTGCTGTAGTGTAATCAACTCAAAACAATTATTGTGTGTGAGTACATGTTAATGCTCTAGCTATCAAAGTTAATTTTACTGTATATACTGCAATTTTAACATTTGATCTAATTCCTGTCTTCAAAGGGTGACTGTAAACATTGATATATAGAAATGCAAAACTATTTTAATACTTGTAACTTCTAAAGACAACCTGTTTTGTATGTACAGTATAAATTAAAGCTCTGCTGTAGTGTTAATGTGTTGGGATTCTTTATTTCTCAAGCTTCACATTTATGAAGTTTAAAGTATAAAATATTTGCAGCGCTTCATCGTTTTAACAGTTTGAAGCAAAACTAGCAATGAGGTGCTTCTGATGTTGCAGTACTATTAGCCTTATGCCAGCAAAGTACTGAAGGGTTCCTGCTGCAGAACTGCAACAGGTTCTGATTGAAGGGTAGGGACACTCCCAATAGGCTTCTCAGCTACTTTCACAATCCTTACCAGATTGCAGCTGGAGTAAGATGCTGTGATGCATCTTACTCACTACATTCTGCAGAATGTAGTGAGGATGCAAGGAGACAGTGGAACCTGTTTTTGTTTCCCAGGAAAGCAGCTGGTCCTGTTTCACAATCAACAGGAAATCAGGAAGGGGGCAAACATTTTCAGACCTCTGTCAGTGTAAGGGCTATAAATGAAAGTATTCCTGAGTATTTGCATTTCTAAACCTACGCTGTGTGTCTGAGTTCCCTTTGGGGCCCACCACCAGCAGGGGGCTCTAAGCAGTCGCAAATATTGCTTGTAGGTTGGCCTGTACCTGTTATGACCTATTAGTATAATGTCAACACAAGGCATTTTTGCTGCATTTTTTTTTCTACGACTAAGCACTTGTGATGTTTAACTTTTGGTAATTTACACATTCTTGATCTATGTGAATTTTACGCGCAGGCAATTCTAAGCTTATAAAATTAGTCGCTCCATTTAGTTGAAAAGCAACAAAATCAAATCAGAAAGCAACTGAGGGAACCATTATACAATGCGTTTTTTGTTTTGCAAGTTTAATGCTTCCTTTAAGTTGAGTTATGAGTATACGGAACTTCGTGCAGACAGAAGATGATGAGAAGGAGGAGTAGGATGTTGTGAAGGCAGGTTGTAACTGAACGAACCACTCGTTCAACCAGGAGGGAGGCGGACACACGTATTTCCATCCTTTACTACGCTGCCAACCAGTCAGTGACAAGCCCTCCCATTTATCGTTCGTGTCCGGCTTTTTAAATGACCAACCGTAACCTTGAGAAAACACGACATAATTCACACAACCATCGCTTCCTCTCCAGCCTCTGTGACCAAGAGAGGCATTCAAGACACAGGCCGTCGTCTTTGGCAGTTGGTTTCACAGCGAACGTTAGCGGCTAGGAGGCTAATGTGAGCAGGTAAGGATGTTCTGCTGCTGCTTACGAATTAAAACCCACATGGCGTGTTGGTTGCATATTTCCTGGCTGATAATTTTTTAATATGACCTCTTGACGTGGGAGTTGATGGTTAAATATTTAGAGGTTCGGCAGCAGAGCTCCGGTTAGCATTGGTACAGCTAGTTAGCCTGCTAGCTAATCCATCGGTGGCGTAGCAGAGCACACAGGGAGCGCGGACAGGAGGTGAGAGGATGCTTATAAAGGACAAACAAAATATGGACTGCATGCTATAAATATAAAAATGAGAATGTTGTCAGAGTTACACAGCAGGTTGTCAAGAGGCGTTGGCATTGCCTTATTATATTTGTCAAAGCATTAATCTATGACAGCCAATGCTCTTATACTTATTTCTTCAGTTAGTTTAGTATTCCCACTACAGCTTATAACTGGCTCACAGTGGATGGTTTTTCACTCCGTCATTGACACAGAGGAGAGTTTTTCGAACATATTGGTCACGAAATAGCATGTGGCAGGCTTCCCGAAAGATCCTGCGATCAGGCAGTTGATTTAAAAGGATTGAATGGCTTTTGCAGTCGGGTAAACATAAACGTAGCCAGCTTTTTAACACCCGTGTTCAGAAACGTTGTAGCGTCACGTTTCTCTGTGTTTTCATGAACATTTTTTTTTATGTATGATTAAATATGCTTTGTCGAGTTTAATGAAATGTAATGCGGAAAACGGGCTTTGAGGACAGCATGTACACAGACACGATGACTACAGGAAAGAAAGCATCAGTTTAATACATTATGGAATGAATTACGATGCATAAATGCATAATTTTCTGTGCACTGGAGCCTCTAAGCACGATCTTCCTCTGGTATAAAATAAATGACAATTTAGTTTTAAGATGTGTGAATATGAAACATTTATACTAGCTTGTCTCACACTATTCGTCAGAACAGCTTGGTTGGTGTGTGCATGACCCCCGCACAAGCTGTTACCTACGTAAGTCCATCTATCACTACTTATTGAGTTCCCATGCAGCATTTCATTTTTATCCAGGTCTGGATACATTTTGAAAAAGAATGACATAATAGTACTTGAGTTTTCACTATCCATTTGCCCATCTATTATTTGAGCAGCCTTCAAGATGGAAAGTTTTGCATCCATATGTAAAGACTGGCTGATAAGGAGGATCAAAGGATGGACTAAGAACTCTGTAAATCTAATGGTGGAAAAGTTTTCAACTATCGAAATATATTATTTTCACTTTTGATGCACCTATGACTTCTATTTCTGGAGGTGTAACTAAGATTCCAAAGCAGGAGCACTTTGAGGCAATACTTCACTTTTATTTGATGTCATCTAAACAATTAGTTATCTGATAACCATCTTCTCTGATACAAGAACAGATTTATTAAACATTAGTGTTGAATAGTGAAAGGCACTGCAGCCTGCTGAATCACATTTTGACCCATAATGGATAATTCATATGCTAGATGTGATGCGAACTTGAAAATATTGAGCAGGATAAAATAAAGCAATGAAGTGGTGACTTTTATCCTCAGGATCAAAGGCAGCAGCTTTCAGTTCAAAGACACATCATGATATACACATTGAATATTTTTCTTTCATCAGATTGGAAAAAAAAAATTGTCATGACTTGAAAAACCTTAAACAACCTCACGGAAATGAAAACCCAGTTTGTAGTTGAATTGTATGCACTTTTCATAGCTTGGTATCTATAGGTAGACCTAAGCTGTCACCTGCTGTCTTAGTGTTTTTCTGTTCTACTTTTACAAAAAGGTAGAGTAGAAAAACTACTGTTACAAAATGTCACAAGTCTAAAGCTCGCAAAAATGTTTAAATATCTGTGGTGACAGACTTACGTTTAACAGAAAGTGTTATGTAAAAACATTTTCTTTTTTTGTTTTTAGAGGAATAACTAAAATCAAACTTGGCTGTTTTTACATTGTGTAATTTGATGATGCCTTACATTAAGAGTCACCTGCTGCCATTTTGGCATCGATTAACTGTTGACTCACAGTTGAGTCTGAAGAACCCACATTTTTTTAATCAAAGGGCTACTTCAGGATCTGGATGTTAAGTTTGCAATAAGACACTTAAGCACACAATTCTACGTAACATGTACATTTAGTTTAATTAAAAAAAAAAAAAAAAAAGAATAGATCAGTCCTTTAGTTGTGTCAACGTCAAGACTCCAAATGGTTGCTTGATTTAAGTCTTATTTTGAAGGCTCTAACGATACCAGAGCTGCTCAACTGAGCAATGTTTTGTCGTGATGACTGATACTTTTTGAAGCACATGTGACCTTCATGTGTTTTAGCTGCTTTGTTGAGCTGAAACTACTCCATCACTTTGCTTCAGCAGTTTGCTTTGACTGGAAAGAACTGCGACCCATTTTGAAAGGTCTGTGAATCAAATCCATCTCTCCTCTCTGCTTGCATAACCAACAACTGGTGCTGCAGTAATTCTGAAGAGGTCCATGTGTTGTATTTAAAATGCATTATTCTGTTGCTTTTGAAGACTATCATTGCATGCCTTGATTCTCATTTCCTTTACTGAGAGACAAACTTATTCAGAACCATCAGTGAGGTGGCACTGACCTTCCATCCTCATCTAAAAATAAATCTGTGGTTCTGTTCTTTGCGCTGTGTGCCTACAGCTCTGCTGCTTCATAAAACAGCCATTTTGGCATTGTACCAGGAAGCCTTCATGTTGCCAGACCAGCATGTAGATTCATTGTTCTGATGCTTTTGCAAGATAAATATGACTGGATAACAGTTTGTGCAGGCCCGGCCCTGCCTTGCACAACATTTCCTAACAGCAGGCTTATTTCCTCCTACAGTTTGACACATGCTTTAGGAAAGGTGGATCTTGTTGCCATTTGTAAATTTAAAATATCTTTTTAAATAATGTAAAAATCTGCAAATTCTTTGGATTGCTCGAAAATATTTCAAGAGTTCACTTGTTCTAACACTATGGTCCTGACAATTGACAAAATTCATAATCCAGTTAGAAATTCTATGGTCTTCACTGTATTTGCATAATTATACAAAGTCTAATGACATCTGATATTAAGATGACTCCATAAAACATGTCTGCCCATTTTTTGTGCTTTTGAAGCCACTCGCTACAGAACACCAGATATCCAATGCTGAACTTAGCTATATAAGAAAATTCAAAGATTAGGATATGAGAAAATTCAAAGATTAGGACTTTGACAATAACAAATATTTTAATCTTTGAGTATATTTTGAGTCAGTCTTCCACAGATAGGTGTTATATTCTAGTGTGAATGGCCTCTCCACAGCCAAGGAGAGCCATTAGTGATAATTGGAGTCATAACATAAGTGAGGCAGCGTGTGTTAAAGTTTGCCCTAATGTTCTAATGTCCTCTTTGTACAACTGTGGCGAATACTGGTTTCTTTGGTTCCTGGTTAATGACAGCTCTGGCCGGGATGTGTGACTGTAGGATCACACTCCTGATTTATGTGCTGCTCATTTTGCTCCTCTGTTTATCTTGCTGTGGTGTGTCTGTTTTTATAAGACAAGCCCATGGGTTTTTGTACATTTATTCATATTCTCATATCATTGTCTTATCAAAACAGATCCTTTATTTCTATTGTATAAGACAATAGAAATGTTGAGTTTGTAGATTTGTGGTTAGAATCCCCAATACTTGGAAAATATAGAAATGCAAACTTAAAATAATTAGTTACCCCTCAGTAATTAAAGAAATAGGTACAGAAATCTCAATTTATGACGAAGTTTTCCAATCCAAACATTGTCAAAATTTTGCATTCAGGATCAAATATTTTCATATA